AAGTCAGGTCCATAATGATGTGTGTTAAGTTTCTAGAAAATCGGTTCGGTTTTACATATAGCTCCCATGTACAGTTTCGTCCGATTTTATGTAAATGGTGCACCAAAGTCCCTATATGCCTTTCGATTTGCACGAAAATTGGCATAGGGTACTGAATTAGGTCCAGAATAATGTGTGCTAAGTTTCGTTAAAATCGATTCAGATTTAGATATAGCTCCCATATACAGTTTCGTCCGATTTTATGAATTAGGTATTGAATGACGTGTGTTAAGTTTCGAGAAAATCGGTTCGGTACTGGTTTTAATATTTTTTTCAAGGGTCCAAAAGAGGCGTAGATTAGACCAAATCAATTACCCAACAGAGACTTTTCGAAGACCAAAATAGGAGTGGATTTTTTAAAACATATTTTTTTCAGTACCCAACAGAGGTGTGAATTTTTTTGAAAATATTAAACGAGGTCTGGATTTTTGAAAAATATTTTTTTTTTCAGGTATGGAAAAAATAGGGCATTAAAAAAGGCGTGGATTTTTTCAAAATATTTTTTCAATCGGGTTTCAATGGGGTTTTTTACAAATCTTTTTTCGGAAACATCACAATAGCGGTGAATTTTTGAAATATTTTTTCACAGTATTTTTTATTTTTTTATTTAAATTTTGACTATGAATTAGATTGTCCAAAAAAACAATTCAACTTCAAAGTCATTATTGTTGTGTGGGTGATTTTTATCTCTCTCACTTCAATTGATAATTTTATAAAAAAAAAATCCAACTTTCAATTACATGCATGTGTCCAAAATTCAAATCTATAAATCTGAAGTGTTTAAAATAAATATTGCCAAAAGAAACAACAACAATGTGCGAGAGTGTGAACAAATTTGGTCAACACGATTTTGAAAAGTGACCGCAACAAAATGATTTTGTTTTTGAGATGTTAATCAATTTCAATGAAATATTTAAACACCTACAAATAATTGTCAATAATGAGGCCACTAATGAGCCATAGAATGGAAATAGTTGATTTTTATTAAATTAACAACATAATAATTTAATATACAAAAAATATTTGACTTTGTGTAAATTTTCCGCTAAACTTCCTCAAATATTTTGAAGAAAATATAGAAGAAGGAAATGATAAGAACACATGGAGGGAGATTGTTCATATTAGGAGATTTAGAAAAAAATTAATGACCAACATTTTATTATAAAATATATTTTTTTAAAGATCCACGCAAGAGGTATTTTTTTTAATTAAACAACTTGATTGAGAAATTAAAAAAAAAAAAAAAAAATCTGACATTAGGATTTTTTTTTTAAACCCTCGCCTTGGTTAACTAATGTTAATACATTTTTTTTTAATCGAAAAATATATTTATTTAAATCCACACAGTGGTAGATTTTTTTTTAATCCAGGACTTGGTTGAAATATTTGAAATATTTTTAAGTCGGTTTTGTTTAAAGATTTTTTTTTAAATATTTTGTTTTGGTTCTTCCCATTTTATAAAAAGAAAAAAAATTAAATTTTTCGAAATGCGAAAAATAATTAATCATCATTTCATCAATCATTTCAATTTTATACAAATAGAATTATGTGTAATTTAAGTGTAATTTGAAATAGTAAAAAAAACACTAATAGGGCGCCATCTAGTATGAAATAGCCTTAAATAATATCTTCAAAATTTTCTATATGCACCATTCACACCACGAATGTGTACGTGAGCTAATTCAATAACCATTTCATTATATGTTGAGTAAAGACACCAACCTCAGAGATTTATGGAATTAAGAGTGTAATAACGGCCTGTGTATGTTCTGACGTGGTGAATATTTCCCCCCGCAATTCTGACCACTACTAGCCCAAAATTCTCAATATCACAGCTCTCTGCGATATGTTAATTGGTAGGAATATGGTGCTTAAGTTGCTTAAGGTATAGGACTATTATTATCAGTAGATGATCTATAGTGTTTCCTTTGCTTATCGATAACTGACCTTCAAGTCATCCATAGGTAGAGGTCTTACAGGCCATCTATAGGTATATAGAGGACCTACAGGTCATACAGATCATATACAGCACCTAGAGGTCATATATAGACCAATCAATAGAGGACTCATGATATTATTTTTATAGAAGACCACATAGCAGACCTAAGAGTCGGATATAGGCTATAGAAGATCTAGAAGTTTTCTATTGTCTATAGAAGGGAGGATCTAGAAGTGTCCGTTTGTCTAGCGGTCTTATAAAAAGGGTCCCAATATCAATTTCCGATCAATTTCCACCACTATGATTTCGACAACAAGCAGAAATTGTCGCATCTGGATGTCGGAAGCTCCAAGTGTTGTTGTAGCAACTGAAATACAAACAAAGGTTGTCTAATTCTGCCTCATCTGTATTCAAATTTAGGAAGGTTGCAACCTGTATATTTAGGGTATTTTCCGAACGAACTAGTTCAAAGAAACTATTCCACAAAATGAACGATCGGTATTAGGTTCGGTTGCTCTGTTCATATAGTTCCTTTGGCTCCAGTAGTTCGTTCCTTTTTGTTATCGTTTACTTAGTTCGTTCATCTAGATCTTCCCGTTCATTGGCCGACCGAATTAACTGACATGAACGAATTAACAATGTGCGATTGAACTAAAAGGAACTATGATTTAAATGCATTTTTGCGAAGAAAACTGACCATGATGGAATTGCTTCAGGAACGACATGGCAATCCGTGTGGGTTTCGTTCATAGGAAGTTTGAAGACATGTGAGTTTGCTTAGGCGGAGCTACTGAATTAGGTGCAACGTGTCATGTTGTCCTAGTCGACAATGCTAGGCATATGTTAGGTATTGAAACATCAATTTCTGCATATGTGTGAACAGAGAGGTATATGTGGTAGAGACGAGACCAAGAGTTGTTGATGTGGTTAATGGTTCGAAGGTGCCATTGGACATTCGTTTTTAAGTAATTAAGCTCGGATGAACAATTACGCTATCGAGAGACTACAAATCACCAATAAATGGTCGGAATTAGATGGTATTCAGCTGAATAACAATTACTATCAACATGACGACGCAAGTAACGAAACCATTGCCCGCCATTCACTCGAAGAGGTCATGGCAATCTAGCACCAATATTTTGTGGTTTAAAACCGTATTGGAGAACCCGTTATGTCTTCGTTTTTCTATATGGAAGACCTCTAGGTAAGCCATTGTCTAAAGAAAAAATCTTTTTGACAAAGTGTCGGAATTATAAGACCAAGGCTGGTATTATCTGACCTGAGCAATGGACGAATGGATACAACATATAAAATATGCGCAGTAAGGGACACAGTGATCAGAAGGACAAAATACAAAACATTCAGGAGGACTTCGAAAAAGTTATGACCTCCCAGAATAATACTTCGACAATATCCCGATTGAGCCGATAAAAAGTAAAAATACAAAATTTATTAGGCATGGAACTTCAATATAAATTTCAATGTTGGCCCTATCAAGGCCAGTACCCTCGAAGTAGTTTTTTTTTCGTGGAAAAAAACTCTCAGAACATGAGTTACTATAATTTATAAAATAAAATTATAAATAAGGGTCTGAGGATTTTTTCTATAGAAGACCATCCTCCGAAGAGAGGAAAAATACTCGGGATCTGAGGAAACTTTTTTCTAATATTAAATAATTCTCCGAATCTGAAGACACATATTTTGTATAAATAATAAACCCCTGGATCTGAGGACAGGTTTTTCTAAACAATTGTCTAAAGACCTGGGGGACTATTTTTTCTATAGAAGAGCATATAGGAAAAAAAATGCTCAGGGTCAGAGAACATTTTTTTTTTATAAATAAAAATAGATATGCGCTCAGAATTCGAAGACATTTTTTTAATAAAAAGCCCTTTGAATACGTTGGCAATTTTTTATAGAGAGCTAAAATTCTACGGACATTAGTGTAAGGACTTGGGATACATGAAAAAGGGCTCAGAATCAGATGAACATTTTTTATAAAAAAAAACATATTGAGACTCAGAACCCAAAGACAATTTTTTCTATAGACAACCCTCGGTCCGGACAACCCCCGGTCCGGACAACCTCCGGGCATTAGGGGTCAAGAAAAGTGTATTTCAAAATAAAACTTACCGCTTTACGTTTATCTGCCTCCGAGGCTGCTGAATTGGAACGATGTCTAAACAGATCCATTACTTTGGTCATTGGTGAACGGGAAACATCGGCACGACGAACGGCCGTAACTGTGTGATAATACTAAGGGAAAAAAACAACAACAAAATCATTAATGAAATATTTATACCAAAGGAGAAAATTGCATTCTAAAAACTCACTTGAGCATCACTGCCCTGATGCGGATGTGCCGAACCATCTTTGTACTTATTCTTTACCGAGGTGGTGCCATCGGCAGAGGTTATCGTTACGGCGGGATGTTGTTTATGATGATGGCTGCCACCACCAATAAGGCCGGAATTTTGTAAAGCTACTTTCATGGAATTCATAACGCCGCCGCCGCCAGTACCGCCACCGGCACCACCACCCGACGAGTGGGTACTACTGGCACTGCCCATTTCATTGCCCGTGGCTGCTGCTGCAGCCGACAAGGGATCGAGTAGAAGTTTTTGTTTTTTAGCATCGGATTTTGCACGCGGACGAAAAACATCAAAAATTGTAGGTCGACGATTGGGACTAGCTATGCCATGGACTGTGGATTGATTCAACACGGGGGAATCTTCACCGCTACGCCTTCGCTCCAAAGAGCCGGAACGTGGTGTAACAGCCATACGTTCTGTGCTGCGGGATATTTTCTCAGCATTACGATTGAGTTTTTCCAATTTGGCGGCTTCACGCTCGAGACGGCGTGCTGTTTCACGTTCGATTTTGCGGGCTTCTTTTTCACGGCGGCTGGCTTCTTTTTCCTGACGTCTGTGGGTAGGGGAGAAGGGGGATTTTATAAAATTTCAATTTTAAAGAATTTTCGGTTTGGTTCTTACCTTGCTTCTTCTTTCATCTTTTTGGAGGCTTTACGTGCCGCTTTGGCATTTGGTTCGGCCGGCGCACTGGAGGGCCTTGATGACGGCAGCCGGGCATCTTGTTCCTGCAATGAATAGTTGAACATTAGTGGAAGAACTAAATAATATTGTGGAGTTGGACACAAAAAGAAAACAAGGAAATAAATGGAACAACTTTTGCTGCTTGATAGGATTATGGCATCTGCCATAATTATGATGGCCTGTTGCGGAATTATGAGTGCCAATTATTAATCAATTAATTAATTTACCCTGAAAACGCTTTACGAGGTTACACTGAAATTGTTATTTTTTTTATTATTTGTAATAAAAAACCATGCTGCGTATTGTCGTCATCACACTGTAGATTTTTTCCTAAGGACATTTTTTTCTATAAAAATAAACCCCTCAGAACCCGAGGACACGTTTTTTTGATATTGAAAAAAAAAATCAGAGAACCTGAGGTCAAATTTTTTATATGAATTTTACAAGGCATTAAGAGTCGTGGATTTATTGAAAATATGTTCTAAGCGTTCAAAGAGCCGTGGATTTATTAAAAATATTTTTTCAAGCACCCAAAAGAGGCGAAGCTTTTTCTGTACTAATAAAAAAGTAAAGTGATTGACTGACTGACGATTCACAAACGCCCAGACGAAATGGCTGAAGCTAGATTCTTGAAATTTTAGGTGAGGTCTAAAGGTTTCAGATAAGGCTGGGTTTTTGGAAATTCGTACTAGAACGGTACGAAAAGTACTAAATATGGTATCATTTGTATTTGGCGAACCAGAGAACTCTGAAATTTGAATTGAGGGTCACTGATGGAGTGTAGAATGGATGTAGCAAAGGCCGTTTTGGAAATTCGAACTATAAGTATCCGAAAAGTACTGAAATGTACTAAATTTGGTACAATTTCGTGAATGGATAGAGCTAAAAACTTTAAAATTGGAATGCAAATTAAGATCGAGAATTAGGGTCGATATGGGGAGAGTTTGGAACATGTGTACTCATGTGTACGAAAAGTACTATATGGTACTATATTTGGTACAAATTTAATTTGGAGATACAAATCGAGATGGAATCCCGAAAATTGAAAGTATCATTACTGTTGGAGTGTAGGATTGGGATATGTACGTAGTTTTGGAAAATGTTCACTTATGTTTACGAAAAGTACTAAATCGTACTATAATTGGTACAATTTGGATTTGGGTGAACCGATAGAGCTGGAACAATGAAATTTGGTGTTAGGATCATTGTAGGGATGTACGATTAGGGTTAGGATTCAGTTTAACAAATTAATTACTTATGGGTTCTAAATGGTACTAAATTTGGTACAATTTGAATTTTAGGTGAACCAATAGAGCTAGAATCATGAAATTTGGATTCAGAGGTGTGGAGGTGTAAGATTAAAATATGTAGGAAGTTTTAGAAATTTGTACGAATGTGTACTAAATTTGGTACAATTTAAATTGTGGGTCAACCGATTAAGTTGGAATCCGGAAACTTGGATTTAGGATCACTGTGGGGGTGTTGGTTTGAGTTAAGTAGGATGTTTTGGAAATAAGTACTACTGTGTACTAAATTTGGTACAATTTGAATTGTGGGTATGTAGGAAGTATTCGTACTATATCTGAAGTTTTGGAAATTGGTACAACTGTGTTCTAAATTTGGTACAATTTGAATTGCGGGTGCACAAACGGAGTTGGAATCCTGAAACTTGGATTTAGGATCACTGTGGGAGTGTAGGTTTGGGGTAGGAAGGAGGTTTTGGAAATAAGTACTACTGTGTACTAAATTTGGTACAATTTGAATTGTGGGTGAACCTATGGAGTTGGAATCCTGAAACTTGGATTTGGAATGACTGTGAGGGTGTAGATTGGGGTATTTAGGAAGTTTTGGAAATTGCTACAACTATGTACTAAATTTGGTACAATTTGAATTGTGGGTGAACCTATGGAGTTAGAATCCTGAAACTTGGATTTACAATCACTGTCGGGGTGTAGGATTGGAGCGTGTAGGAAGTTTTGGAAATTCGTACTATATCTGAAGTTTTGTAATTGGTACTACTGTGTACCAAATTTGGTACAATTTGAATTTTGGGTGAACCTATAGAGTTGGAATCCTGAAACTTGGATTTAGAATCACTGTCGGGGTGTAGGGTTGGGGTATGTAGAAGTTTTGGAAATTGGTGCAACTATGTACTAAATTTGGTACAATTTGAATTGCGGGTGCACCAACAGAGTTGAAATCCTGAAACTTGGATTTAGGATGACTGTGAGAGTGTAGGTTTGGGCTAGGAGGTTTTGGAAATAAGTACTACTGTGTACTAAATTTGGTACAATTTGAATTGTGGGTGAACCAATAGAGTTGGAATCCTGAAACTTAGATTTAGGATCACTGTAGGAGTGTAGATTTGGGGTAGGAAGGAGGTTTTAAACAATAAGTACTATTGTGTACTAATTTTGGTACAATTTGAATTGTGGGTATGTAGGAAGTTTTGGAAATTCGTACTATATCTGATTTGGTACAATTTGAATTTTGGGTGAACCTATAGAGTTGGAATCCTGAAACTTGGATTTAGAATCACTGTCGGGGTGTAGGATTGGGGTATGTAGGAAGTTTTGGAAATTCGAACTACTGTGTACTAAATTTGGTACAAATTAAATTGTGGGTGAACCAATAGAGTTGGAATCCTGAAATTTGGATTTAGAATGACTGAGGGAGTGTAGATTTAGGGTAGGAAGGAGGTTTTGGAAATAAGTACTACTGTGTACTAAATTTGGTACAATTTGAATTGTGGGTGAACCAATAGAGTTGGAATCCTGAAACTTGGATTTAGGATCACTGTGGGAGTGTAGGTTTGGGGTAGGAAGGAGGTTTTGGAAATAAGTACTACTGTGTACTAAATTTGGTACAATTTGAATTGTGGGTGAACCAATAGAGTTGGAATCCTGAAACTTGGATTTAGGATGACTGTGGGAGTGTAGGTTTGGGGTAGGAAGGAGGTTTTGGAAATAAGTACTACTGTGTACTAAATTTGGTACAATTTGAATTTTGGGTGAACCTATAGAGTTGGAATCCTGAAACTTGGATTTACAATCACTGTTGGGGTGTAGGATTGGAGTGTGTAGGAAGTTTTGGAAATTTGTACTATATCAGAAGTTTTGTAATTGGTACTACGTGTACCAAATTTGGTACAATTTGAATTGTGGGTGAACCAATAGAGTTGGAATCCTGAAACTAGGATTTAGAATCACTGTCGGGGTGTAGGGTTGGGTTATGTAGGCAGTTTTTTTATGGAAATAATGTGTGCTAAATGGAAAATCTAGATTTGGGCGAAGCTTTAAAGCTCGAATCAAGAAAATTGGTAGTAAATGGTACTCAAATTTAATTTATGGTCGATGTTAATGTGTGGATTGTTTTGTCTGACATATGCAATTTGCTTTGAAAACGAAATAATATGTTAATACATGCAGGCATATGCTAGTTAAAAATATTTTTTCAAGCACCCATTTGAGGCGTGGATTTATTAAAAATATTTTTTTTCAAAAATTCTAAGATTTTTTGTCCACATTTCATATTGCTACCCACTGTCTCCGATTAATTCTAATGTGTATGCAGGCATGCCTGATCGCCTGTCTGTTTGCCTGCTTTCTTTTTCTTTTCTTTTTTGCTTCGAAAATTTGTTAAAACTGCTTCTTTTGTTGTTCTTTTTTTGTTTAATATTCCTATTTGATTTTGTTGTTCTTTCGTTTCTATTCAACCGATACGATGTTGTACATATTTAAATAAAATTTATTTGCAAAACAAATACAAACAGAGAAAAAATGACGTCAATACTTCTTTGGGGAATTTCTTCGTTTGCAGTATATGTTGTGAGAGGTTGATTGAGGTTCGTTCGTTTTGCCGGATTCCAGACCTACCCCTCTCAGTCGGTTGTTTGTTCGCAAACACATATGGTGAAGTACCAAAAAAATAATATTTCCAGTATCCAAAGAAAAAAAATATGCATATCGTTTGGTAGATGTTTGCCTTCGTCTGTTAATTGTTAAAAAATTTAAATAATTGTAAAAAATAAATATAAAAAGAAAAAAAATAAAAATTTTTAGGCACGTCCATATTGTAGGCAGAAATAATTATCGCTGTTGTTATTATGCCGCCTTATTATTTGTTTCGGTTTTCGTTTTTTTATTTGAATTTTTTGTAGCTGTTCTCATTGAAACTCGTTTGGAATAATTTATTGAACAAAAAACTGAAAAAAATACGAAATTTGCAATATTGTCACCGTGTTGTTGGTCGGCCTTTGGTGTGTGGGTTGTTTGAAATGTGTATTTTAAAGTTTTTTTTTTTTTTTGTGGATATCGGTCTCATCACGTGTTCCTACAACAACACGAATGTTTTAGTTGTGTTTTCATTTTTTGTTTATATGACAAACTTGTCAACGACGTTGCAATGACCTTAAAATATATTTTACTTATTTTTTAATTTGCAAAAAAAGGTAACTGCAAATATTTAGCTCGAATGGTATGGAATATTCCACACAATTTTATGTGGACATTAGATCCTTGGGATTTAAAAAAATATATCAAATTCAGAAAATTAATAATGTCTGAATATTTTATACAAAAAAAAAAAATAAATAAATAAATAAATAAAATAAATAAATAAATTAAAAAAAACCAGTAAGGAAAGTAGTAAAGTCGGACGGGGCCGACTATATGATACCCTTCACCACTATGGATATATTAAACAGGACTATTAACATGAAATTGGATGAAATAAAATATGTGATATTTATCTAAATGTGAATCTACCTATATATCCATAAGTTATATAAATCGACTTCAATCAAATATAAATAGGTTATCTGTTGGGCTATGTCTGTACTTCTAGAAAACGCAACTACGTAATTCTATGCTCAATTTTGTACGTTGTGCAAAATTTGATGTCAACCTGACTAGCATGAAGAGTTTGATGTCCAATTTACTTAAAATCGGGCGAAAATATATATGGAAGCTCTATCCAAATATATCGAAGGATATATAGGGACTTTGGTGCACCATTTACATGAAATCGGACGAAACTATATCTGAATCTGGGCCGATTTTCTCGAAACTGGGCAGACATCATTCTAGGCTCAATTCAGTACGTTATGCCAAATTTCCTGCAAATCGAAAGATATATAGGGACTTTGGGGCACCATTAACATGAAATCGGACGAAACTATATATGGGAGCTATATCTAAATCAGGACCGATTTTCGCGAAACTGGGCAGACATCATTCTAGCCTCAATTCAGTACGTTTTGCCAAATTTCATGCAAATCGAAAGATATATAAGGACTTTGGTACACCATTTACCTTAAATCGGAGGAAGATATATACGGGAGCTATATCTAAATATGAACCGATTTTCACGAAACTTTGCACACATCATTCTAGACTTAATTCAGTGCGCTATGCCAAATTTCGTGCAAATCGAAAGATATATAGGGACTTTGGTACGCCATTTACCAAAAATCGGCCGAAACTATATATGGGAGCTATATCTAAATCTGAACCGATTTTCACGAAACTTGGTACACATCTTTCGTGGCTCAATTCAGTACGCTATGCCAAATTTTGTGCAAATCGAAAGATTTTCAGGGTCTAAAGTCCGTAAATCCGGGGAAACTATATATGGGAGCTATATATAAATCTGAACCGATTTTCACGAAACTTGGTACACATCTTTCGTGGCTCAATTCAGTACGCTATGCCAAATTTCGTGCAAATCGAAAGATTTTCAGGGTCTAAAGTCCGTAAATCGGGCAAAAATATATATGGGAGCTATATCTAAATCTAAACCGATTTTTCCCAATTTCAATAGGGTTCGTCCTTGGGCCAAACAAATGAACTGTGCCAAATTTCATCCAAATCGGATCATAAATGCGACCTGTACTTTGTTTACAATTTAACATGGACAGACGGACGGACATGCATAAATCGATTCAGAAAGTGATTCTATGCATATTCTTAAAAGGAACCATGGGTCTATCTCGATTATTTTTGCCTGTTACAAACATATGCATAAAGACATAATACCCTGTACCACAGTGTGGTGAAGGGTATAAAAACTTCAAAACCTAATCCTGATGATCCTTAGAAAAATTCAACTAAACTCAGTTCAATTTTTTTCTATAGAAAAAAACATTCGGATACACTCAGGATTAATTTGTTGAACAAGAAAAAAATTCCCAGACCCTCAGGCCTATGTTTTTTCAATAAAAAATATCGTCACCTCGCCTATTTTTTCTTCTGTAGAAAAAATTCATAGACCCTTAGTTATAAAATTTAGGTTATCAACATCTAATGATATTTTTATAAAGAAAAAATCCTCCGCAAATTATTATCAGTTCAAAAATTTTTTCCTCAAGTCCTGAGGACACCTATTTCTATGTTTAGGACCTTAGGACCATGTTTTCTAAAAATGACTAAGAGACCGCATGATCTGACTATTTTTTTCTATAGAAAAAATTTCCCACTTAAAATATTATTTTGTGGGAAAAAATTGCCCTCAAGTTCTGAAAACACAAACAAAAATTTTCAGTTCCTTAGGATATTTTTTCCTAAGACAGAATAATATTCAGAATAAATATTCGAGGGTTTTTTCTAAAGTGAATTAAAAGTTTTCAGGATCTGACTAAATCTAATTTTTTTTAAGTCCTAAAGATAGAAATATGTATCCTCACGACTTGAGGAACAAATTTTTCAACGGATAATTTGATTTTTTCTATGAAAAAATTTAGATTTTTTCATAGAAAAAATCAAAATTCTGAACTTATGAAAAAAAAACTTTAGGTTCTTAAAACATTTTTTTTTCTAAAACAGGCAAATAGTTACAGGATCCGACAATCTTTTCTATAGTCAAAAATTTCATACTTAAATATTTCCTCTACAAGAAATTTCTCTCAAGTTCAAAAGACGCTTTTTTCCATAACCCCTGTTCAAATAAATTCTTCAGGAACTTAGGACAAAGACTTTTAAAAGAGGACTTAAAGTTCTCAGATCCTCAGAAATTATTTTCTGTGAAAAAAATTGTCCTCAGGATTTGATAATGTCTACAGGAAAAAATGTCGTCTAGTCTCTTCTGGTCCTGAAATTTGTTTTCCTGAAAACCCTGAGAATTTTCTTCTCGGGTCCTATTTTTCAGATGACGTTGTTTGGAGAAAAAATGTCCTTAATTACGTTTTTTGTCCTGAAGTCTCTGAGATTTTTTCTGCAATATAGAGAATTTTTTCTATGTCCCTCTTTTCATATAAAGTTTCCATAGGAAAAAATCCTCAGGTCCCCAAGATTTTTTTCTAAAGGAAAATAAGGTTTCTTTACAAACGAAATTTTTTTTTGAAAATTCTTAAAAAAAATTGTTGAAAAATGCAATGGAAAGTTATTATAGATTAAAAAATTGAATAAATTAAAAAAATGTTGAAAATTCAACAAGATTTTTGGTTGAATTTTTTTATAAAATTTTCCCTTGAAGTTTCGACAACAGAATAATTCATTTTTGTTTCATCAATAAATGTTGTTGAGAATTCAACAAAAAAAATTCAACAAAAAAAATTCAACAAAAAAAATTCAACAAAAAATATTGTTGAATTTTCAACATTTTGTTGTTGTTGAAAATTCTATAAAAAATTTTGAAAATTCAACAAAAGAGTATTGTTAAAAAAAAAATTGAAAACTCAACAGAATTTTTTGTTGAATTTATTTATTAACATTTTCTGTTGAATTTTAAACAACAGAATAACTCATTTTTGTTTTAAAAATAAATGTTTTTGAGAATTCCAAAAAAAAAAAAAATGTTTAAAATTCAATAAAAAATCTTGTTGTATTTTCAACATTTTTTGTCTTTTTTGAAAATACAACAAGCATTTTTTGTTGAAAATTCTATAAAAAAATTTGAAAATTCAACAAAAAAAAAATTTGAAAATTCAACAAAAAAATTTTGAAAATTCAACAAAAATTTTTTGAAAATTCAACAAAAAAATTTTGAAAATTCAACAAAATTTTTTTTTGCATTTTTTATTAACATTTTCTGTTGAATTTTCAACAACAGAACAATTCATTTTTGTTTCAACAATAAATGTTGTTGAGAATTCAAAAAAAAATAAATGTTGAAAATTCAACATAAAATCTTGTTGAATTTTCAACATTTTGTTGTCTTTGCTGAAAATACAACAAACATTTGTTATTAAAAATTCAACATAACAATTTTGTTGAAAAATTAACAAAAAATTAAAATTCAATTAAAATTTAATAAAAAAGTATTATATTTAAAAAAAGTTGAAAATTCAACAAAAAAAAATTTGGATTTTTATTAAAATCGTTTTATTATTATTATTTTTTTTTGTTTGAAAATTAAAACAAAAAAATTTGGCGGAAATTTAAGAAAAAGAATTGTTGATTATTTTCGAGAAAAACAAATTTTTTTCCAAAAAAAAAAAAAAATTGGTTGAAAACTCAACAAAAAATTATTAAAAATTGAAACAACATTTTTGATGAAATTCCAAAATAAAAAATTTGTTGAAAATTCAACAAAATATTTTTAGTACATTGGCCCATATTTGAATTAAAAAAAATCGTTGAAAATTTAACAAAACAAATTTTAGTTTTAAAATTCAACAAAAAATTTTGTGGAAAATTTAACAACAAATTTTGAATATTTGTTATAAAATTGAGTTTGAATTCGAAAAAAGCAAGAAACAATTGGAGAAAATTAAAAAAAAAAAAAATACTATAAATTTTACAAACATTTTTGATAAAAATTCAACAGAAAAAATTTGTTGAAAATTCAACAAATTATTTTTATTACTTTGAATTCGAAAATCGTTGAAAGTTTAACAAAAAAAAAACTTCAGTTTTAAAATTCAACAAAAAATTTTGTTGAAAATTCAACAAAAAATTAAAATTTTGTCTATAAAATTTTCATTTTTTACAGACAACAAAAACAAAAAACAAAAAAAAACTTCTGATGAAAATTCAACTCAAAACATTTGTTGAAAATTCAACAAACAATTTTTTATTACTTTGACCCATGTTTAAATTCGAAAAAAAATCAACAAACAATTGTTGAAAATTCAAAAAAAAAAAAAATATTATGGTTCATTATTTTGACCCATTGTTGAATTTTGAAAAATTGAAAGAAAAAACACATCCAACTTACATCTTCCGATTGTACGGCGGTGGTTCGGCCACTTTCGGCAGCACTATCATCGGTATAGTACTGTTTCTTTGGCAACGATGATTCCGAACTCAACGAACTGCCCGGTGATTTGACGGGGAATTGTGGAGTTTTTGGGGTGGTCGTACTTGCTGTTCCGGACGCCGGTCTCTTGATCCAGACATCATCTAGATGAGGAAAATCACGATATTTCGCCGATGAAGGTGAATATTCAGATAAAGATGTGGATCTGGGTTTTGTCGTTGTGGTGCTTCCCGCAGATGTTGCGGATTTTGTGGTTGTCGGAGTTGTTGTGCTGCTGTTACCTATGCTATTATTATCACAGACATTGAGGGAAGAAGTACTTTCGGCGGATGACCTGATCTCAACCAGGCTACTATCAAAGAATTCTTTGGAAAGATGGGGTTGAGCAGTACCCGGAACTTTGTTGCTACCATAACGCTGTGAGAACAGACCCTGCACTGAGCTGTAGCCACCAAAACTGCTGGGAAAGCTGATGGTTTGGGAATTTGTGGAGGCATTTAGGTGTTTTAGTTTATCGGCCTCGCTACGCAGCTCCGGGGTCTCTTGGGCTTTGGTAACGGTAAACTTACCCTTAATAATCAAGGTGGAGGGTGAGGGTGGTTCATTATTGGTGGTTGGGGAGGTGGGAGTTTCTTCTACCTTCATGTGGGGTTTGGAGCTAAGCGGAGAGGTGGCTGAGGTTGCTTGCGTTGAGCTGGGGGTCTTGAGCGTGGTGGAAGTGGATTTGGCCGATTCCAGTAGATTTATCAAGGCTGGTGGAAGAATGGTGGGTGGTATTGGAGGTGGTGGTGGCGGCGAGTTAAGCTCCGGTGCCACTGTCACTGTCTTTATATCCTCCACATTGTTCGTATTAATGCTATCGATTTTATGCATGAATTGTTGCCGCAACCTCTCCAGGTCCTTGAATTTTTCGGCGTTGACTTTGTCACTGACGGGAGGGGGAGGTGGTGGGGTTGGTTTGTTGTTGCGCTCAAATTTCGGTGGTTGATCGGAATTTTGGGGTTGAGGCGATTTTTCACCATCATCTTCATCCTCTTCCTTGCACTGGGAGAGGCGTCGACGTTCCATAAAGGGCATCAAGTACGGACGCATTTGAAAGATGTCAGGGGTATAATATTTCCCGGAAAGGGATAAGGCCGCTTGGATGTCACCTTCCAATTGAGGGCCATCTTCATTGTCCTCCCCCTCATCCTCGGATGAAGATTCCGAACCACTGCTGTGATATTCAAATGATTTCATGCGCGGAAAGGTGTGCAGCACTCCGCTACCCAGACCCGTGGAGCAGGTCATATTGTCACTATTCGATGGATGGAGGATGTTGCTGTTGGTGGCTTCTATTACACCCACATCACCACTTAGTGAAGGTTCCGAATCCGATTCATAGCCATCATTAGCATTGTGTTCCAAATCAGCCATGGACGCATCAAAGGCATGCTCGAAGACATCATCCCCTATGGAGGGCAGATGGAAATGGGCCATCGCTGTTGGCAATGGTGAGGTACCATTTTGTCGCAAATACCCCCCACTACCCATTTCCGAGGACATATCCGAAAAGGAGCTTTTACTTTGGGATTTTTCCACGGCACTATCCTGTTTCTCCTCGTGCGTCATTGAGGACAAGGAGGCGGAATTTGAGAGGGGAGGACATTTTGAATTTGTCAGATTCTCTTCGATATATTCACAATTTGTGGCCATTGGTTATGTTGTTTGGGGGGAGAATTGTGGGCCAGTGAGAGAATGAGAGAGAGGAAATTTACGAAATTGTTTGAAAACGATGACTTCAGTGTTGCTGCTATTGCTTTATTTGGTCTATCAGAATTCTCATTGACGTTGTACAAAAATAAACACTTAAGGCAGTTACAATTCTAAGGGTACTCAGGACACGCACTACAAAACACGATAATATTTTCTTTTGAACGACATTTGTTTTGGGGTAATTTTTATATCGGTTGGAATTTTTAATAAAAATTCTTACAAGGGTCTTGAGATTTTTTTTATTGGCAAAACTATTTAAAACGTAATTTTTTTCAATTGGATTCACTTCAAACACTTTTTAGAGATTTTTTTTTATTTTTGGTTTTTATCTGGAAAAAAATAACAAGGGAAAAAAATAAAAACAAATTAAATAAAAAAATCGACAAAATAAATAAAACACTTGGATCCGGGCGAGATATTGGGTTGACATGGTTCTTTCAAAGAAAAAATTGTATGAATTTAAAGAAAAAAATATTTTTTCAAAGGCCAACCAAGGCCCACTAAGGTGTGGATTTAAAAAAACAAAATATTTTTCAATGATTGATCAGGGTTCATCATTGCGTATAAGTGTTGACAAGGCGTATACGTCACCGTACTCATAAATGCGTATAAGTGTTGACAAGGCGTATACGCCACCGTACTTCAGATCATTAAGAGTGAATAGTTTTTTTTTTGTTTTATTTTAATCGAGGTGTAGATCTAAGGCGAGAATTTTTAAAAATATAGTTTCAAAGTCCACCTAAGGCGTGGATTTTTTAAAAAATATTTTTTCAAAGTCCACCTAAGGCGAGGATTTTTCAAAGAAAATATTTTTTCCAAGTCCACCTAAGGCGTGGATTTTTTAAAGAAAATATTTTTTCCAAGTCACCTAAGGCGTGGATTTTTTAAAAAATATTTTTTTAAAGTCCACCTAAGGCGTGGATGTTTTAAAAAATATTTTTTCAAAGTCCACCTAAGGCGTGGATTTTTAAAAAAATATTTTTTCAAAATCCACCTAAGGCGTGGATTTTTTAAAAAATATTTTTTCAAGGTCCACCACCTAAGGCGTGGATTTTTTTAAAAAAAATATTTTTTCAAAGTCCACCTAAGGCGTGGATTTAAAAAAAAATAATTTTCAAAGTCCACCTAAGGCGTGGATTTTTTAAAAAATATTTTTTCAAAGTCCACCTAAGGCGTGGATTATTTAAAAAAATATTTTTTCAAAGTCCACCTAAGGCGTGAATTTTTTAAAAAAATATTTTTTCAAAGTCCACCTATGGCGTGGATTTTTTTAAAAAATATTTTTTCAAAGTCCACATAAGGCGTGGATTCTTTAAAAAAAAATATTTTTTTCAAAGTCCACCTAAGGCTTGGATTTTTTTAAAAAAAATATTTTTCAAAGGCCACACCTTGGCCGACCTTTAGAAAAATAATTTTTAAAGGATTTAAAAGAGGATTTTATTCAGGGTTCATCATTGCGTATAAGTGTTGACAAGGCGTATACGCCACCGTACTTCATTAAGAGTGAATAGTTAAAAAAATTTGTTTTATTTTAAACGAGGTGCAGATTTATAAAAAACATTTTTTTTTCGAGTAGCCAACAATACGATATTTATTAAATCATTTTTTTTTTCAAATACAAAATATTTAAATATTTTTTTCAATATCCCACAAATGTCATCTTATATAACAAACAATAAATAAATGATCATCCCGCTTCTCTTAGCCAGCCACAGGCGGTTTTCGGTTTAATTTCCACTTCTCGATGATGATGATACATTCGATTTTTCGTTCGGCTCAATTGACGATTAATTGCCTGTAATTATAGCTAGCGGACTTATAGCATCAACAATCGATCCATGGATGGATGACGGGCGGAATCAATGGTTGGCATTGAAAAAGTGTGCGGCAAGTAGGCAGGCAGGCCGGCAGACTGGCTGGCAGTCAGGCACCCCCATAAATGTAATTTTCCATTAAATCACAAAAAAGTCGATACGAGCGAAAATACGAATGTCATGTTTTAATAATTTCTTTATCGATTATATTTTATATTTTTAATTGCTTCTTATGGCAACAACAATAATAATAATAACAAAAACAATAACAGAAAAAAATTGAAATCAACAAATCATTTAAAAAATAATTATTCAAAATTAAAAAAAAAATATATATTTATATATAGAAACATAATATTTCTAGGTGGGTGTTTCAATAGACCCACCAAATATGGGTGTGGTGTAGGGTGATCTACTTAAAGCCAGGGTATGAGAATATTATAGAATTAAAGAGGACCATTCATAAAGAAGCGGAACTATCTATCCCTTCTTAAAGCTGAGTTTCAAGGTCTGGAAATAAAAAAGGTCTTAAAAAAGGATGATGATCTTTCCAAATAAAAATCCCCGAGCATGGCTTTAAAATTTGAAAATGGAGGGGTGAATCAATGCGTGGTTTTGTAAAAAATATTTTTTCAATGGCCACGCCTTGGCCGACCTTTCGAAAAATATTTTTTAAAGGATTTAAAAGAGGATTTTGATCACTTTCATCATTTCGTATAAGTGTTGACAATTCGTATACGTCACCGTACTCATAAATGCGTATAAGTGTTGACAAGGCGTATACGCCACCGTACTTCAGATCATTAAGAGTGAATAGTTAACATTTTTTTGTTTTATTTTAATCGAGGTGTAGATCTAAGGCGTGAATTTTTATAGTTTTGAAAATGGAGGGGAGAATCCCCCTATTTTTTTTTTTTTTTTTGTACTATTGCAAATGTTCGCAAATTACCGAAATGACTAAGCCATGCGAGACAGCTGAGTCTATATTGCTTTTGAAAAAAATCCGACACGAAGTCATTAATATTCCGCTATTAGTTTTCTAACACATTATGATAATTCCAAATTTGTCATATCGAAAAAAAAGTTATTTAGTTGAAAGGTAATTATTTCATGACTGTATCTGCAGCGAAACAGAAAATTCCCATTAGACACACCTATGGCTGTTCGGAAATGGATGAGTTAATTTTGTTTAAATAATTTAGGAAATTTAAAGAAAAATATAAAACTGTAGTCCATGGCAGATCATTATAAGACCCTTGAACTAAAGTAGGGGGTAGATTATCAGAAAAGTTTGAAAAAAAAATAATATTTGAGAAGGCTTCCGCTGATTTAGGACCTTGTAGATTATTACTTCCCATAGAATACTTTATTTCAGGCCAATAAATTTTCAGACGCCTTTTGGATCTTCGATAAAGAGAAGTAATTTTTATAAAGCTCTATTAAGGGCCACCTAAGGTGTGGATTTTTAAAAAGAATTTTTTAAAGTCGGTAAAGCCTTAGTTTTTTAAAAAAATATTTTTGAAAGACCACCTAAGGCGTGGATTTTTTAAAAAAAAAAGTGTTTTTTCAAATGCCAGCCAAGCCGTGGTATTTAAACAATATTTTTCCAAAGGCCTACCAAGGCTTGGATATTAAGAAACATTTTTTTCAAAGACCAGCCAAAGCGTGGATATTTAAAAATAATTTTTTCAAAGGCCAGCCAAGCCGTGATATTTAAAGGCCTCCTAAAGGCCTGTCAAGGCTTGGTTATTAAGAAACATTTTTCAAAGGTTCTGCCAAGACGTGGATATTTAAAAAAATATTTTCTCAAAGGCCAACTAAGTCGTGGTTTTGAAACATATTTTTCAAAGAGAAGTAAATTTTATAAAGCTGTCTTATAGGACTTTGTTACCTTCTAGATACGTCATTCCGGGTCAATATCTTTTGGGCCTCCTTGGAAAATAATCTAGAAGGTTGATCGATTACGAAAGAATTTCAAAAGGCTTTCATGTTTTAGAATAACTAAATCTTCTCTAGGAGGTGTTGTGATTACGAAAGTTTTGGGATATTTTTTGTCAAATTCCTATATATCCCAGCAAGGGTCCACAGAGTATTTTTGGAAGGTCTTTTGAAATAAAAACAAAAACTTGTAAAGATTGAGAATAAAAAAATCCATAGAAGACATATTGCAAGCCTTCTTAATATAGGATATATGTCAAGGCTTGGATACCTAAGTAAAAGGTTTTGCCTATAGCTCACTGGAGGATTTGCTATATATTAACAATTTTTTTACAAGGGCTTTTATTATACAGAAAAAAATCTAATAGATCTTCTGCTAAAGGCTCGAAAAGAGGATTTTGTGCGGGGTTCATCATTGCGTATAAGTGTTGACAATATGTATACGCTACCGTAATCGTAAATATCGGAAATATGATTGAAACAGTCAAGCACACCTTTGGCTGGTTGGAAATGGATGAGTTAATTTTTTGAAATCATATTTAAAAAAAAAAAATAAAAACATATAAAAATAGTACGTAACAGATCATTATAAGACCCTTGAACTAAAGCAGAGGGCAGATAATCAGAAAATAGAATAGAATACTTGATTCCAGGCCAATAATTTTTCAGAAGCTCTTCTATGGAAGTTTGCTACCTTCTAGAAGAAGGAGAACCCTGTAAATTACTTTGCCTATAGAATACCTCATTCCAGGGCAACACCTTTTCGGTGAAATCATTTTTGGTTTCCTTGGAAAATAAGCTAGAAGCGTATAAGTGTTAACAACACGTATACGCTACCGTAATCGTAAAAGAAATAAGAATGAAACAGTCAAGCGCACCTTCGGCTGCTTGGAAATGGATGAGTTATTGAAATCATTTTGGAAATAAAACAAAAAACATATAAAAAAGTAGTACGTAACAGATCATTATAAGACCATTGAACTAAAGCAAAGGGCAGATAATCAGAAACGTCTAAAAAAATAGAATCGAATATTTAATTCCAGGCCAATAAATTTTTATAACTAAATTTCTCTAGAAGGTGTTGTGATTACAAAAGTCTTGGGATATTTTTGTCATATTCCTATATATCCTAGCGACGGTCTTATAGGACTTAACAGAAGGCTTTTAGAATATACATAATATTTTTGA